ACACACACACACACACACACACACACACACACACACACACACACACACACACACACACACACACTCACAGGCTGCTAGCAAGAATCATGCCCTGTGCACAGTGATGGTATAAAACTCATGTGTGGACAACATGGGATTCCAACAAGTGATTCAAAATGAGTCCTTCCACATATCTTAGTACTTTTGGTGGTACTGTGAACGCTTGCTTTTGCTTCCTGGGTCATGGCCTGAGAGCACCCTTATGTCTACACACCCCCTGCTTCTGATTTCCCCTAGACCTCTGAATCACTCCAGCTTAGTCAACAATCGCAAAAGCTTCAGCAGCAGCTCATAGAGACATTGGGGCTGTGACTCACAGCGTGAGTAAAGGCTTAGGGATCAAACACATTTATTTGGACCTTGAGCTCTCAGACTCTGCTCCTGTTATTACAGCCTAGCTAAATCAAGAAACTCACTGAACTCGATCAAAGCTCTGGTCACTTGACACACCCCAGAAAGCCTCTCAAATGCGCCCCTCATGGGGAATGCACGCGAAAAAGTGCATTCAATTCGGATGCACTAAGAACATCACCCACTCATGCCATTCACTTGCAGCACCACCATGCGCCAAATCACAACCAGTGCTTTATTCAAAAGAGGCCGCTGCAGCCCTTGGCCATCTACCAAGCTGCCATTCATGCACTCACACCGACTCACACGCCTTTTTACCCAGCATGTTGACTACTACTCACTTGAAAAGCTATGGGGAGCCGTCCATCCACCCCATGCTTGGTGACAAAGACCTGTGCAACTTATAGAGGCCCCCCAGCTGCTTTTCACGCAGTCACGGACCTTTCCACCCAGCATGTCTACTTTCACTCACTTGGAACGCCACACCGACTCACACGCCTTTTTACCCAGCATGTTGACTACTACTCACTTGAAAAGCCACAGGGAGCCGGCCATCCATGCCATGCTTGGTGACAAAGAGACCTCTGCAGCTCTCTGAGCCACCCCAGCTGCTTTTCACACAATCCCAGACCTCCGCACTCAGTGTGTCCCGCCCAGAAAATGTGGGGCGTGCTTGCTGCTGAAGGCTTGTATAGCAGGCAGCCATGTCTGGAATGTCCAGAAACAGCTGGCAGCTATTCTGGGGGTTGTCGCTCTGCAGTGAGTACAACAGTGGTTCTTAGTGGCGGTCCAATTGCGGCAGCAGTGCTTTCAAAGGAAATAGAAAGACTTCCGAACCAGACGGCTAGGATTGAGCTCTATTGAAATTCCACACAGCACATTTTGGTGACAATCCCAAGTGCCACAGCAGCATACATCTGAGAGAGTAAGAGCAACCCGTGACTCAAGAAGAGGATTCTGATGGTTCCTTATACGTTTTGTTCCCACTTTTTTTCTACCCAACATGAGCATTTAAGAGAAGCAGGGACCTACCTGCTTAAAGGGAGGCAATACTGCAGCTCCGCCAGTTCAAACGGTCCCCCAAAAAAACTGAAAATTTTTGGATTTCAGTTCAAATGCAAGGCCCGGATTTAATCTCAGTTCAAATGGGTTCGATTGGCAGATGGCATTCTTTAACAAATACTTTAAGCAAGATTTGAAAAATCTTAAAATAATCGCTCTGAAATTAATAAATATCCAAACTTGCCATGGAGCTACGGTAATTTGTACATTACAAATTTCTTGCTTTTTAGCACTTCGCTCTTGATAGCAATGACCGATGTATCTGGTCCTGCACAAAAGTTGTGGCAGCACCAACAAGGCAAATCTCAAGCAGGAGATCGTGTTTGGTGAAGACAAACCATTTCAACCAAAAAAATCCATCCTTACAATTCTGAGTTTCAGAGCGATCTGCACATGATGATGATGATGACGATGATGATGATGATGATGAATGGACAGAGTAGTGGTAGGTTAAGGGGCCTTTGATATTTTGAGCCTTTTCCCCAAGTCCTCCGAGGCAATTCTTCAGAATTCCAACCATCCATTTAACTCTGTGGATCAAGCACAGTTGATTGGCATCCTGTTGGTTCAGAGTCATTGGGGGATGAGATGGAAATTGTGGATACGCATGACTTACAGCCCGTGAAACATGCGCCAAAAACTGAGCCATGTAGAAGCAAAGATGTTGGAACTGGATCCAAATTTGTCTGCTATTAGTAACAGGTGTGTAATGGCTTGGCCAAGGCAGGGACGTGACTTTAGGATCTGCAAGCCTGTCCTCGGTGCCTGGCAGGACAAGGGAGGCCGAGGCCTCTCTTGCTCACTTCTTGCTCCACAACTCTGCTCCATAGCTCTGCCAACCACATATTTTTATGCAGTAAACGTGAAATGGATAGGAGGTCCAGGGAGGCAAAATTTGATGCCTCTCTTACGGGGTTAGTGGTATTGGGAGGTAGGCGGAGGGTGGAGGGGGGGAAAGGGAGGGGGGAGTGTGTGTAAGTGGTGGGTGAGAGTGGTCCAGTAAAGTTTTACATGTGCTTTCCACAAAAGAAGAAAATGCTTACTCTCCTATTAGGACCGAAGCTTGCCAGCATCCCAACTTCTCAAAGAAGACAGATAATTTTCATGGTCAGTCAATTGTAGGAACACATCATGATAAGAAGCTTCACAACTTCATTGTCTTATCTTGTATCCAAGATTTTGCAGTCAGAAAGCACTCGTTGAAAATGCATTACCAATCTTGGTTTTCAGCATGCTGCCTTACACCCTCGCGAGGCTCCCTCTGCCAACCACTTCTGGAGGGAAGTCAAACTCAGGCTGAGACATTTCATCCCCTGGACTCAACGGAAAATGACAGCCTTTTTAAAGAATCATTCGAAAAGGCTCGCCCATTTTCAAGTGTCACTCACCGGAAGGAAGCCAAACAGCAGCAGGAAGGCTGCATCAGGCCACATGGACCCATAGCTGATTGTTATCTCATCACCCCTCCTGCAGGCACACAGATGACAAGAATTGTTTCACACATAGGAAGGAAGCCAAACAGCAGCAGGAAAGCTGCATCAGGCCATATGGACCCCACCAACCATGTCTTGAGGGGAGTATTTGGGGCCATTACAGTTGTACCAAAAACATTACGGTAAAACCCATTTGAAGACTGTAAAATGATTACCCAGGCCTTCGTTAGATTGAAACTTCTGGCATGCGTACGGAGATTGGAGGCATTGACTAAAGATCGGCAAGCTGGGTCAATCTTTGAAAGAGGTCTGGGAGTCCTGATAAGATACCAAACACAATTCCTTTGTTTTTAGCTGAAGTTGGAAAATAAAGGACGACTCCATGCTGCTGCTGCATGGGATGCCAAAGCCACACCTTATGCCCTGGTGCCCAGCCACTAGCTGGAATTGACTCTGCTCTTCACTTCCCACTTGCAGCGTTGATGGGTCGCATACCTCCTCAATAGCAGCAAGGCCCTGCGGTGGAGAAGGCCCACTGAGCGCTGGTCAGACACACAGACACATTCAGGCACATTTGTTGTTGGAATCTTTATTGATTGATTTATAACTCTATAAAATCTGGGTATATTTCATCATTGTACACGATGATTTGCTGTTCTGCTGTTTAATGTTCACACATGGACATGCCACTTCATGCATCAATAAGACGGCTTCAGTGCAGAGTCATTGTGAGCGCGGTAATGC